CCAGAAGAGCAGCAGGAGTTGGCACAGCAGGACTGGTTGCAGCAGGATGCACGTGGCAGGACTTGTTGCAGCAGGCACACTCCTGCAGCCTGGACCAGCAGCGGGTTTTTGGAGCCAACTGCCACCACCTTCCCCTGCACACCTCAGCTTGCTGCTGGTGCCACACACAGCCCAGCACGCCCTGTGCTCTATTTTGGGTGCAGGGCACTATACTTAGGGGTGAGTCATCCCTCCCAGCATCGGCTGTAGGAGAGCTCCAAGCAGCAAAGCTCCGGGCAGCCTGGCCCTGGTGCAGGGCTGTGGGCTGGGGCAGTGTGGCCAGAATTGCAGCTGGGACACCGCCGACCAGCCCTTCAGGTGTGCCTCCCTGTGTGTGCTCTAAGGCAGCTGCTGACACAGCACCGCCTGGGCGCGGTGGCTGAGTGGCACTTTGCATCCTTCAGCTCTGGGCAGTGGCTGAGGAGCCCACAGCAGCCGTAGGAACCCGCCCGGGTGCTCATTTAGGAACACGCACGCTGCTGGCCGAGCAATGCAGATATCAGCAGGACGATACCGGCCCAACCGCACCGAGAAGCATTCTTCTTTGCAGATTCATTCCCTGTGCAGAATGGAAGGCTGCAGAACATGTTCATTGAACGCCGTCCAAGCGCTCCGTCAGCCTCTCCCATCTGCTCACAGTGAGGGCTGTGCTGCGCTGCTCCCCGCTCTGTGTATCAGCATCGTGCTGCTCCGGGCAGCCCCGGTCCCTTCCTCTGATCCTCGCTGGGCTCAGTGCTGCTGGCTGTAGCTTTCTGCCCAGCAAAAGAGGGCTCAAGAACAGTAGGTCGTTTCGGTGATTCTCTGCCTGCAGGAGGAGCAGGCTCACAGAACAGGAGCTTCTGCTCTGAATTGAGTCCCCTTAGTAATATATGAATATTGGCATCGTTTTCTGAAAGCGTTTAACACCGGCTGCTTTATTTTTAGTGTGTAAATGTCAGCAGCAGCGTTGGATCACTCTCGTTCCCACTGCTGAGTCCCAGCTCACACTGAGCTCTGATGGGGGCTGACACCCCCAGCTCCCACTGTGCCATGGAGGGGTCCTGGTGCGGGCCCCGGGGGCAGCCCCCTAGCTCTCACCTCCCCAAAGTGATTTTGTTTTAAGCAAGCAGCCTCCAGAAATGTAGGGCAGGAGTAGCTCCTGCCAAAATTAGTCCTTGTGCGAGAGCGTGAGCAGGATGCTAATGGGCAGCCGGCCGTGTGCAGGGGGGAACGGGGCTGCTTTCCCTGCCCAGCACTGGTGTCAGCAAGGCCTGGAACAGCACACACACTCGTGAGCATTTTCTGCAGGAAGCATCGATGCCACAGCCCTGGGACATGCAGAATATCAAACAGCGTGCTTCTCCCTGTGCCCGACGTGCCCCAGCACATCTGGGGCGGAGGGGAGCTGCAGCTGGGAGGGAGTGCAGGCAGAGCTGTGCCGTGCTGCTGTCTGCCTGGTGGCTGCTGCTCACAGGGGTTGGTACAGGAGCCTCCCAGGCCTTTGTTCGGGTATTTGCACAAATGCAGAGCTTCCTCCCCTGAGAACAGTGCCTGTGTCGGGTGTGCCAGGGAGCGGTGAAGCCCATCCTGCACCTGGCAGAGCTGCGTCCTTCTTGGAGCAGCAGTGAGCACGGGGTAGGGTTTAAATGGGGATGGTCCCTGCCTTGTGCTGCCACCCTGAGCAGCTCCATGGAGGTAAGCACTCTGGCAATGGAATTAGTATAATAGAAAACAAGAAGTGTTGGTGGCAGGGAAGTACCTACCTGTGTGCACACGCAGCCCCACTGTGCCCCTTCCTGCCACGGCTCAGGACCTCTCAGTGGGCTCCTGCTGCCCCCAGTACCCCCTGATCCCAGCACCTGCAGGGCTCATACACACTGAAGGGAATCTGACATTTCTTTTTAATTCTATCAGATGAACTGCATCAGGGCAGTCTCCTCCTACTAGCAAAGTGGTTGATTATTTCTGCTGGGATGTTTCAATCTCTGCCAGTGCTGGCTTCCTGCAGCACACTGCGGGTGCCTGGCAGCACAAAGGCAGGGTCACTAACTTAGAGCAGGAACAAAACCACAGCATTTCCTGCTGCCACTGGTGCTGTTGGGTGTCCTGGGCTGTCCCCGGGCTGCGACAAAATCTGTATTGCTTCGCTTTGAATTAATTCACAGTTTTGAGGGCCATGCTGTTCCAGAAGGGGCCTCTGCACTGGTGAGGCTTTTCTCAGTGCTCAAGAGTATTTCTCTGTGTGTGACCATGGCTATCTGCAGCACCACCAGCACTGCCTGCACGGGGCCACACTGTGCCGTGTGGCACGCGGTGTGGGGCAGAAAGAAGCTCTAGGTTCCCTTCAGCAGGAATGAGCCCTGGGCTCCCTGAGCCCACACTGCACAGCACGGCTGGGACATTCGTGTCAGAGCAGCAACAGCAGAGTGGCCCTGCACACGGCATTTGTGGCCACCACAGCACCAGCTTCAGGTGCCCACAGGATGGCTGTCAGGAGGCTTAGAAGGAGCAAAACCACATCTCATGAGGCCACTGCCATTCAGTGAGTGCGTCCCATAGCAAAGGGCCAGCGATATGGGACAAATGAATGCCTCCTTTACAGCACAGGGGGAACCTGCTTCCTGACACCACTCATCTGTGACCAACCACTGTGCACAAAAGGGAGCAGTGTGGTTCAGCACACACCCTGGGGAAGCAGGCACAGCCATGATGCTTCTCCACAACTGAGGTGCATGGAAGCAGCCCGGCTGACAGCCAGCAGCATGCTGGGAGCTGCCATCCATGCTCTAGAACAGGGCTGCTGCCTATGCTCCTCGGTGAGCTCAGTGCCAGTAGCACACTTACGCCAAGGGAGTTCAAAGTAAAGCAGGTACAAGTGAAATATGGATGCACTATATGCCGCAGGATCACAGTCAGAGCTCCACATCAGCACCAGCAGCTTCAGGGTCAAACGTCTCCAAAACCAGAAGCTGTCCCCCCAAAGCAGGGTCTGGGCCCCCAGGCACCACCCCACACAGCAGCAGCTCGCAGCTGTGCAGGGCTGGGGGAGGGCTGTGCTCACCTTGTCCTCATTAGGTGAATTAGCACTAAGAGGGAGCAGCTGGGAGGGTGCAGGCAGGGAGCTGGGGCTGCCTGGGCTGTGTGCTGGAGTCGGGAGAGGTCTGTCAGTCTCCTCAGAGCATCTCACAGCACACATCTTTTGCAAGCCTTCTATTATCTATTTTTAAGCGTGTATTGCTGTCTGAGGATCTGCCCAGGAGTGTGAGCTAATGGCAGGAGCACAAAGGCAGGAGGAGCGCTGCTGCTGAGCCCTTCCCATGCAGGTTGCTAGGTGCAGAGCTGCGCGCTGCAGTGCTGGGCCACTAAAAATAGTCCCGGCTGCAGAGCCGTACCTGGCACTGAGCACGGCTGGGCTGGGCTAAAAGAACAGCTCCTGGTCACTATAATTATGCAAATCAGGATTTTTTCACTACTATTTAATGAAAGTAGCTGAGGAAGCCAAGGAGCTTCAAAGCTCGAGTACTGAGAGGTAATGCATCTCTGTGGGTGCTGCAAAGCCAGACCTCACTGGAGCCCCACAGAAATGGAACTCACAACATTAAATCGTGGAGCAGTAGAAAACAAACACTTTCACAAACACCCTTGAACTCTGATGGCGTGGGGCTCTGATAGGGGACTTAGACCAATGCTGCAGTATGGGGTGGGAGAGCACCTGAGGTGCCCGGTGCTACCTGCTCACAGTCCTTGGCCAGCATCTCTGGGAACGACTGCATTCATTAAAAGATTCCCAAATAGAGGAAAAAAAAGTTAGAGGCATGTAACAATCAGAAGGACCAACACGATGGAATGGTGATACAGAATGGGTAATGACTAAGGGACAAGCGTGATAGAAAGCTGTTACAATGAAAAAAGGAAAGTACTCACCCATCTCTGAAGATCTAGGCTTGCAGGGAAAACTCCATAGGAGAGGAATCTCCAACCAGAGACCATTCCCCAGTGGCAGTCAGCCCTTCAATGGGGTCCAAGAGAGGTGCAGCCAGGCTCCACCCTTCTGGTCCCACAGCTGAATTGCTTTCACCTGAGCTCCCAGGGCTGACCTGGTCCTTTCCCCAGGTGCTTCATCAGTGGTTCAGGCCAGGACTCAGCAGTTCCCATACAGAGGTGTGACCTGGAATCCTCATGCACGGAACCCCATTTGTAGCTGGAGATGGATACAGAGCAGTGAGGGGAGATGGGCTCTCAGCCGGCACTGCAGTGAGATGAGGGGTGAAGGCAGCACTGCCCGCTGCCATCAGTGCTTGCTAATTACTGGCTCCATGACCTGTCTGCCCTGGGTCGTTGCCCTGCAGGTGACAGCAGGGGCCGTGTCCTCGGGGGTCACAGCGGGGCAGGACGTGTGCTGAGAGCATTGTGTTGTGGACTGTGGGACCTAAAAGGAGGAAAACGAGCTGTGTGAAAATGCCCGAGGTCCTGCTGGAGCCAGGTGTGCCCTCGCTGCCCATCAGGAGCAGTGGTCTCAGCTCAGCAGAGTACCGGCACGGGCACGAGGCTCTGTGTGCTGCCCTGCCCGTCCACTCAGGATCTACTCACAGATGTGACTTAGAGGAACGTCGTGTTTCCAACTGACAGAAAAGAGAGAAACAGCCCCGGGAACTCAGGGCTGCAGACCCGGTTCTCACCCAGGGCAGCGGTTCGGAGCGCGTCAGCCCAGCCGCACACTGCAGCACTCGCTCCTTGTGAACCACGGTCGTTCCCTGTTGGTGTGAACAGGCCGTGCTCTTCGGCAGGGTTTGTCAGCAGGGATCAATTAGCAATTGACCCCTGGTTGAGGTTCTTTTCCTCTGTGTGTTCTTCACCTTACGGTGCTAAATGAGATCGCAACATCACTTCAAGAAGCTGTGCTTCCTGAGCAGTGTTTAATTTATCAATGGGCAATCCATGAGCTTAATTTATCTCTGGGTTACATATAAGAGTGAAAATCAGGGTGGAATTGAGTTTATTATAAAGATGTTCTGTCAGAAGACATGGTATTACAGTGACTTAAACATGCTGCCAAATTTCCCACTAATGCCCAATTCTGGTATGAACACAGGACCACACTTTACAAACTCGACATTTAGTCTTCTAATAAATAAGTTCAATAAATAGGGATTCTGCAGGCTGAGCTGTGTGTCCGAGCAGAAGCTGCTGTGCACGGCGGTGACCAGGGCTGCTCCTGCTCCTTACTGACCGCTCAAGTCCGTGAGCAACATAGAGCCGTCTCACTCACCATGAAGACCGGAGGAACGAAGATCTGCTGAAGTCCCCCCCAGCATCACACAGAACCCAACTCTGCACACCGAATCTATAACGTAAAGCATGCTTTCATACTGTTTTAGCACAATATTTTCAAACACGTTTCTTAAAAATATGAGAATGCATTCAGACCGCCCATGGAGGAGTTCAGCCGCGCTCCGACCGCTCTCGCGTTACACAACACTTGACTAATTTTAGATGACCTATTCCATGTTGGGAGAAGATACACACTGAGCAGTGGGTTTAGTCTGTGGTATATCGCAACGTCCTGTTAACGCAGTGATTTGTCACAAAACCGAGAAATCAGTTCCCTCTCAACCACTTAAATGTAGAACACAGTCCGTGTATACGTTTTCATTTTGGTGACTGTTTTTTTGGGAAGCGACAGGCGCTGCCGAAGGGCTGCAGCACAGCGTTGTTCCCGCACCCAGCAGGACGCAGGCAGCTCAAGTACCGCAGCCCCGCTCGTCTGGGAGTTGTTTCCAGCACGCGCTCCTGGCGCTGCACCGTACAAACCGCAGGAAGAGCCCAGCAGCGCGGCCCGGCCCAGCACGGCACCGACGGCCGCACAGCACTGCGTGTGCCGGGCGCTGCCGCCCCGCCTGCAGAGCGACCCGTGCCCGCTGCCCCTCTGCCGCGCCCGCCCCCCCGGACCGTCCGACGTGCGCGGCGGTGGGCACCGCTCTGCAGCGCCGGCGTTCGGTGCCAGTGCTGCCAAAACGCCGGGCGATCACCGAGGCCGGGAAGGAGCGGCAGCGCTCAGCACGCAGAGCCGGCAGCCGCGCCGGGGCCGTGGGCTGCCACCAAAGGGGCAGCTGCGGGTGCCGTGCTGAGCTCCTCGTCTGCATTTCCTGTTTGCAAGGGAGGCCGGCGAAGATCCTTTTGGAGTGTGGGAGTCTGAGCCATTAAAACAGAAGCACTTTGATTGCTCTCTTCCTTTAGGGGATTTGATTCATTTTACTTCATCTGACACAAGCCAGAAAGAAATGAGAACACTGCAAGGAGAGCTGAATTCTGACATGTTATTCTCCACTAAGATTAAAATTCTTCCACTTACTGTGTTAAGCTTTTTCTAATCTTAGAAAAAGAGCCTTTATCTAAAATGAATGGGGATGGCAGATCATCCTGACACACGCGTGCGCAGCGCTGTCCGGCGGTGTCAGGATGCAGCGTTACTGCAAACCGTTCGCACACCTTTCACATCCGTTCACAAACTGGTGTCCCCGTTCTGCTTGTACTCTGTCAAAATATTGAGCGTCATCTCCTCACTCTTGGACTGCACATTGGGCTCGCTCCTCCGGGATGACTTGCGGGTGGCCCTGGAGAGCCGCCGGCGGAAGGTGTCCCCGGCCAGGAAGTAGAGGATGGGGTCGACGCAGCTGTTGAGGCTGGCCAGCCCCCGTGTCACCTGGTAGGTGGCGTACACCTTGTCGTTGAAGGCACACATCTGCGGCGTCTGGAAATCCAGCCTGGCCCTCAGGTTCAGGGTCTTCATCACGTGGAAGGGGAGGTAGGAGACGGCGAAGACCGTCAACACGATGATGACCAGGTAGATGGACTTTCTCCGCAGAGGAGAGTTGTCCAGGTCCTTGTAGATCAGAGCTTTCACGATCAGCCCGTAGCAGCCGAGGATGACGATGAAGGGGATGCAGAACATGAACACCGTGGTGCACATGCTGTACACGAAGTAGCTCCGCAGGTACTCGTCGGCCGTGGTGTCGTAGCACGTGATGGTTTTGTTCCTCCTCACCCCCGTCCCCGAGTAGAAGAGGATGGGCGCGATGACGGCCACCACCAGGGCCCACACCAGTGAGCTGACGTACACAGCGTTCTTCTTCTTCAGCCTCCCCAGCGACTTCAGCGGGTGCACGACGCCCGTGTACCTGTGCACGCTTATGCACGTGAGGAACAGAATGCTGCCGTAGAGGTTCACGTGGAAAATGAACCTCTGCAGTTTGCACATGACATCCCCGAAGATCCAGTCGGTTTTGTTGAAGTAGTAAAAGATGAGGGCGGGCAGCGTGAGGACATACAGGAAGTCAGCCAGCGCCAGGTTGAACATGTACACCGAGATGCCGCTCCATGGGCGCATGTGGAAGACGAACATCCAGATGGCCACGCTGTTGCCCAAGAACCCGGTGATGAAGACGAGGATGTAGACGGTGGGCAGGTAGTAGAACTGGAAGCCCGTTTTGGTCAGGGAGCACTTGGTGGTGGCGTTCCCCGTGGCCCAGCCGCCGGCCAGCAGCTCGGGCTGCGTCCCGTTCAGAGCAGCAGAGATGAGGGCTTCGGTCATGATCCTCCCGGCGCGCTCACGACGGCCTGGGGCGAAGCGGCGAAGGCTCTACGGGAACAGCAACGCATCTGGAAAAGGAGAACGAAGCAGGGGAGCAAAGCGCGCCGGGCGGGAAGGTGAGCGGAGCCGCGCAGCCCGACACACCGCGCCGCGGCCGGTCGTCCTCCGCGGAGCGCAGCGCGGGGTGGGAGCGGTGCGGGGCACCCGGCGGCGGATGGCCGCTCCGCCCGCGCCGCGCTCTTCTCCCCCCCCCCGGCCCCGCGCCGCCCCGCGCCGCCCCACCTGCCTCCCTCGCCGCGCTCCGCTCCGCTCTCTCTCCTCCGCTCCCCGGCGGCGCGAAGCGGCGTCCAGCCCGCAGCTGTGCCCATGGCGGGGCCGCGGCTCCATCCACCGCCTCACGGCCCCGCGCCGCGGGAGGGAGGCAGCGCCCGAGCCGGGCGGGGAGCGGAGCTGGGGGCGGCCCCGGGCAGCGCTCGGCCCAGGGGCGCGCCGCCCCGCACCGCCCCGCACCGCCCCGTCGGGAGGTGCTCCCGGCCCCGCGCCGCCCCGCCCGCGGCCCCCGGCCCCGCCGCGTGCCCGCCCCGCGGGATCGCTTCCCCCCGATGGGTCCGGCCGCCCCGAGCTCCCCCACGCGCCCCGCGGTGCGCGCCCGGCTCCGCGCGTCGGTGCTCCTCGTCGTGGCGACGCTCGTTCCGCCGCTCCGTGCCGCCTCTCCTCGTTCGCGTTGGAGTCAGAGGCGAGCCGGTCGGAGCGGCTCTGGGCTGAAAGCCGTGTCTCAGACGGAGCGTTATTAGTGCCTCATGCATATGGATTCATCCCTCAAACTTCGGAGTCTGGCTCAATTACAGGAGCGCTCCGTCGAGCCGAACCGGGCCACCCCCTGCGCCCGGCGCTGTGCGGGGGGATGGTCGTCCGCCCGGCGCTGCCACTTTGAAGCAACGTCTGGAATTCTGTCCTAATGAGAGCTTTCCATCTCGTCTACCCATTTTTCTGTAACCGCACGTTTGCTGCTTTGAAGATTCTTCTAAACTTTAATACGAAAGGAAGAGAAAGACCAGGCGCGGCGCGGGGCGGTGCGGGGCGGTGCCCTCAGCCGCAGCTTCAGATCGGGAGCCCCGGCCCCGCGCTGTGCGAGCCGCGTTCTGCCGCGGGCAGTCGGGGTCTCTGCTGGAGACGAACGGGGGACTCGTGAAAGGACACTGAAACGCGAAGCACCGCTGCCGGCACACAAGCCGCCCTCCGGGCACCTCCCGCTCCCCACGGCGTCACGGCAGCGTGGAGAGATGGCCCTCGGTGTGACGCTCCGATGGGGCCCACCTGCACAGTCGGGGATGGACGTGAAGACGTAAATAAGAGGAGTGCGGGAGCGCGGCCGGACCAATCGGGCGAGGTGCCGCTGGGCCGCCGCCGACGGCTCCGAGGGCTCTGAGGACCTCCGTCGCTGCGTGCTGGGCGGGGTTCTCGAGGTGTCCGTCTGCCCCCCGTGCCTCCAGTGCTCCCGTCTCGCTATTGCTTTTTGTAGAGCGGACGCGGCGCTGCGATGCTGCTGCCTGCACAGCGCCCTCGGGTGCTCCGCGCCCACCTCGCCCCGCTGCCCCGGGAGAAACGCAAAGCACTGCCAGACAACAGCTGCCACTGAGACGTTCCCTTTCACGCAGCGTTTAAGTCCCTTACACGCAGTGTTTATGTCCCCTTCGTGTAGAGTTTAGGTCCCTTTCATGCAGTGTTTAAGTCCCCAGTTCTTGACCCGTTCCTCCAGTGATCCCACGCTTTGCTTTAAAGTTTGCACGTTCCAGCTGCAGTACTGCAGCAGTTAAAGGCCCGGCGCTTCCACCAGAGAAGAATGAGGCATATTTTTTAGCAGCCATGCTGTTACATGACTTCATCTGCAGGCAGCGAATTAGCGTCTTCCTGCTTGTGCCACTGATATGTTCTTATTTTGGAGCGCAACCATCCAACATGTTCCATTTGCACCTTTCCTCCGTGCTCTGCCATGTCCGCTGGGAGCTGCTTCCCACCACTGCGGTGAGGCTGAGCCCCTGCAGCTCTGCCTCCCAGCTCCCCTCCTGCACACGCTGGGCTTTATGACGCCGACTTCCATTAAAACGAACGTTTTGTTCTTTTAACAGCTGATTTAACTCCAAGGGATGATACATCCCTAATGAGAAATGAGTGCCCACTGGAGAGCACATGGAAATTCCCAGCCAGGCCAATGAGTGCTGCACTGCAGCGGTGTGCTGGTGTGTGGGGATGGCCTGGGATCGCTGCAGGGCTGCAGCCTGCGGGGGGAATGGTGCAGAGCCCTGTGTGTTGGGGTGCCAGGGTGACGAGTGGGCCTGAGCTCGTGCCTGGGATCTGGGTGTGAGCACAGCAACAGCTGCTGGTGGTGAAGGTGTGGGCACATCTCTGTGTATAGGAGTGTGTGTGTGCAGATATGTGCAGGCTCAGGAAAGTCTGGCTTAACGGATGTGCAAGAGAAGCAAGGCTCATTCGTATCTGTTCAAAAATGCTCCACAACAGGCTGTTAGCAATGGCTGTTCATTGCAGTTCTCATTATCTGCCAGCTTTGGTTTGCCTGCTGAGAATACCCAAGCTTGGCCCTGACTTGGGAGTGATGCATTTGGGAAGCATGAGTGCGAGCAGATAGGTGTGCAAAGGACGTGCAGTGAGTGAGTTCTGCCTGCTGGGTGCAGCCTGTGGGATGGGGATGAGCAGTGCCCCCCTGGGCAGGAAGCCAGGGATATTAGCGTGGGGCTGATAAGGGCTGTGGGATGTCTGCAGCAGATAGGGTCTGCGCTGCTGCCAGGAAGCTGCCTGCCCACACACCGCAGCAGAGCGGAGCCCAGCAGTGTCCCCAGGGTTGGCTGCTGTGTCTGGCTGCATTTGGTGGGCTGGTGCCCCCAGGCTGGGGCACACCCTGTGCACTGCCATGCCTCATCCCATCTAGTGGGAGCAGTGCTGCTGTGTGTGTGTTGTACCTGAGCTGACGTTTGGCTGTCAACAACACAAGCCATTGGTGGGTTGGGGCTGGTAGTGGCAGTTAGGGTATAGAATACGATCCCATAATCTATAGATTACAATTTTATGGTCAGCAATGGGTAACAAGAGAACTCGGAGTGCATAGTTCGTACTGCACAACACCCAGCATGACTGTCACTCATTCCCATACAGACAAACTGCGTCTTTTCCTCTCCCTCTCTGATGAAAACTTCCTCATACCATAAACCAAAGGGTATCTGAGCTGCAGTTTGGAGTGCCTTCTGCATTTCAGAGCACATGAGTGGCTCCCGCTCTGTGCTGCTGCTGTGCTGCACAGTGGAAGTGGCTTCATGGTCCCAGCCGAGCAGCTGCACTTTGGGTTCTAAAGATAACAGTGAGTACTGGAGAACTGCTCTCATTTCAGCATGGGGCTCTTTGCCTCCTTCCCACACTACCATTTTAAATGGAATTACTGTTCTCCATAGATAAGGTATTTGGTTCAGTTTCTGGCAGAGCAAGACAATCCACCCAGGTTTCAGAGGATGTTCACATTTCCCAAACAGCCAGGAAGGCAGAAGAGCGGCACTGCGTAGTGAGGGAGCCAAGCCTTGGGAGCAGCTGCCTCGCACACCCTAAGTGACCTGCAGAGCCAAGAGCGGGGCTGAGGGCCGTGCCAGGCAGAGCCTGAGCTGCTTGGACTGGGGGGCTCTTGGGGACCAACCTTTGCTTCCAGGGCTGGAGCCCCAGCAGTCTGGTGCAGAGTCTACTCTGAAAATATAGTGGAAAACACAATTGCAATTATCAAATCCTTTTGTAATCTCTAGAATTTATCTACAAGAAGTTAAAGAAGGAAAATTACCTCTGTTAATGTTCAGACATGAGCGGGTATGTTTGCTGTTACACAAACCTCTTAAAGTTATTAATGATTGATTTTAATGCCTTGTACTTAATGGGGGCAGATCTGGCTCAGCGCACAGCGGCTGGTGGGAGGGACACGCTGCCTCGGCCATGGGTTCCCCATCCAGTAATGTGGGGTGTGCAGAGGGGCTCCCCTGGCCCCAGAGCCCCCACCCCAATACTGGGACCCCCAGCAGTTGTGTCACTGCATAATGCCACCCATCTTCACCGACTCCAGGTCAGCTAAACACAGGAACGCAAGAGGCCGGTTCCCCGTGGCCATATGGTTTACAGGAAGTGATTGGGATGTGGCAGAGCAGTAAATACAAATTGCTTTCATCTCGTGCCATGCTCTTAGTGCAATCCCATCCCAGTGCACAGCTCAGGAGAGCGGCTGTGATGCGCTGGTGGTGCTGGGGGGGAGTGCAGCTGTGCTGTGAGTGCAGCCCCAGGTAGCCGTAGTGCCACCCCTCGCCCATCCCCACGTGAGCCCTTTGCGGCGTCCCCACACCGTGTCCCCATGTCTGCAGCCCGTGCTGCATGGGCACTGCTAGGAGAGCTGTGCAGGCACTGAGCAGGATCAGGTTCAGAACAAACACAGCACGGTCAGTTCCATGGGTCTGGGGCTGGGTGCAGCGTCCGAGGGGTGGGCAGTGAAGACAAAGACGACCGCTGATCCTCGGGGCTGCATGCTCCCCTCGCAGCGAACGCGTGAACCGTGGTGAGCTCACCGTTAGTTACTCTGTGTTTGAAACTGATGTTTGGCAACTACTGTGCTCCTCAGAACACCAAGCCTGGAATTAATAGAATGCACAACAGACGAATGCTCAGTTCCCTGTGTGGGGGTTTCCATGCGGCCGGCGTGGGAGGGCAGGAGGACGTTCCTCACACAGCTCTGCAGCTGCTGTGGCTCTCAGGGGTCACAGGGGGACATGCAGCGAGGGGCAGAGCGGTCAGGGCCCTGAGCGGTGCTGGTGGGACAGCAGCTGGGCAGTGGGACAGGGGAAGGGCTCTGCTCCCTCCACTGAGTGCGCGGTGCCTTTCCCCAGTGCCCCCCTGGACACGCCGTGGGCTGCGCTGCACTCACAGAGGTGCTGGCCCAGCATCAGCCCTCCCCCCTTCCCCCCACTTCAGGTTCCATTGCAGTACGTGCTCTCTGTGCAGTGCCTCTGTGTTTTCAGACCTTCCCCAAGTGCTGTTTCCCTCTGCACAGCTTCTGCTTCATTATTCTGATTGAATCAAGCTGTAGCTGAGGCAGAGGGCAGACTTTCTGGCTAATGGCAGACCGTGACTTGTTTGTACTTCTTGTTATAGATTTTTCCTAATTACCCGCACTTCTCAGAGCCAGCTGAAAAAGAAAACAGCAAGCAGGCAATGGGATGTGAACCCCACTGCATCTCCTGCAGCTGCAGAAAAAGCGCTACACTCACAGGGCTGCACACAGTGGAGGCAGAGGGGCCGGCTGCTCTCCAGCAGGCACCCATCACAACCCCTCCTGATCCCATCGCTGCCTGGGAAAGATGGGCTCTTCCACCCCACGGTCCCACTGGTTTGGGGTGAGCAGTGGGCT